TTGGAGGCCATCGCAATTGGGTTGGAGGCCATCGCTAGTAGGTTGGAGGCCTTCGCTGGTAAGCCCAGTATTCTGCCCTTTCAGCGTTCAATGCGTTGTTGTGGCAGTTTTGAGGTATCAAGAGGAGACCAAGGAGAACACACCGTCGAACATGAGGCCCGAGATTAACGTCAGAAGCGCTTCACAGTGGCACGACGCGGCACAGCTGATGTCTATTCTGTTTTTTTTCCCTAGTAGTAGCTTCTGTTGTTACTAGTAGCTTCTTGTTCCTAGTAAGGCCAGGAGCCCCTAGTATTAGTAGCGTCCTTGAACCTAGTAGAAATGCCCTTTGTTACTAGTAACTTCTTGGATGGTACTGTGAGGTTTGTCCTGGATGAGATGACAGAAGGTGTGAAGGTGGCTTTGTGACTTTTTGCTTGTCGCCGCGTCTTTGAATGCATCCTCAACTTGGCAGGCCTGCACAGCAATTTGGCACGTAGAGGCAGGAATTCAGCTTCTGAGGTTCTATACCATTCCTAATTTGGCTTTTGGAATAGAACTTGCAAAGTACATCATTACACATGTCCATGTTTGGGGTCATTATGGGTACGGGACATGGTCAATTTGTTTTGTGCCCAAACAGCCTTCCTGGCCAGTTCAACACTCGCCTATCGCCACGCGGTGTGACCTACTACGAACTTAACAACGAGGGCAAGGCCATGCTATAGCTCACCTCTGAACATTTGGACACTAGCGTCAATCGAGTCAATCTTGAGAAGCTTCGGAGAGTGATGAATTCAGCAATCACAGTTGTAACTTTGTTTGAAGTGTTTGTTAGCAGTGTGTTGTTGCCATGCTTAGATGATAACTTGACAACAAACACATATAATTTCAGTCAGTTGCCGCGATTGCAGTCCAGGTGTGCTATGTTAGATCTGCCTACGACATCAGTTTCTAAGGAGCAGTTTGCTTCTGTTTCTCTTGCCAAATTCCACTTCGTTGATGATGAATGCAAGAAGCAGGACGAGCTTGGATTCCCGCATGCAAGCCACTCTTGGTCTCTTTCACTCGAGTTTTCACCACGTTGATCGAAGAAAGTGCTAGCTTGTGCCAGAAAAGCACGGGTGACCTCCAAAGTTCTCAGCTGCATGCAGACATGTGTGCCATCAACCATGCTTTCTGCATCCGACCGGCATCAGCCATTTAAGCTGAAGCTGCTTGTACTTGCTCGGTATGACAAGCCGCACTTGCAGCCATGTGGACAGAGCAAGGCATTCTGCAAGCTTTGAAGGTCGTTCTATTCAAAGCTAGCCAGCAACCGGCACTTGACCTATTCCATTATCCGACACATTCACGCAGAAGTGGCACTTCCTATTTGTTGACCTACTCGGTTACTTTGCTGGGCAGCGTTTGTGTGATGGAGCCTCCAGCGAAGAGGAGCCGAGAGGATCCTCAAAGGCCCGTGAGCAAGATAGCACAATATCGAGCAGGATTGAAGGTCAAGGCAGTCAAGGCAGTGCTATGCTTCAAATGTGCGAAAGGCAGAACCGCAAGATATTTTTGTTCATGTTTTTTGCACTTGCACTTCACGAATCCAGGGCACGGGTGGTTCTTTGTGGAGCTGGCTCTTGGGCACAAGGTTGGCACCTGCCACAGCTGCAGAGACACATGGCCAAAGCCACACGTCTAAAGACTTAAAGATCCTGAGCAGTTGCTCCACTAAGGCAGAACTACAAAACAACTTCTGAGGTAGAACTCTCACTTATTCAAGCAGCATTGTGGTTGTAACAAGAGGTTTGAAATTGTTGTTGGTGATTCTGACTCATGGGCAGGTTGCCCATAGTTGCCCTGCGTTCTAGGTATGTAGACACCAATCTGTTGCAGTTCTGGGCAAAACGCATGCAAGGTGCAACACTCTGTTCGCGTTTCAAGGAGATCCCTCAGTGGAGCTTGTGGCGATTGTCGATCCAGCTACATCAACATGGAGCAAATACAATCTAGACATGAAGCCGACCAAAGAGCTGGCTGAAATGTACGAGGTGCAGCATGCAGGGTTCTGGATGGATGGAGAGAGAGCGAGAGAGAGAGAGAGAGAGAGAGAGCGCGCATGTTGCAAGGTGTGGCAAGGCCGCTGAATATGTCGTACGTAGTTTGTCCAAAAGCAACCTCCCATACTAGGTCGATCGGATCCCAGGTTCCTGTCTTCCAAGACTTCGCTGAGTTCCTCAGATCTAGTCTTGCTCAAAGAACTGATGGGGTGATTATTTCGTCAACTCACACCACGCACTGCAGCCTAGGACCGTCTCTGAGAGAGTGAGTAGAGAGTTCGTCGTTGCCGAACAGTGTAGAACATCACACTGGCTTAAGCGCTTCAGATGTAACAACTTCCATATATATATATATCTCATACATTGACATGTGCACAAACATACACCCCCCCATATTCTTTCAGACCTTGTCCAGACCTTCTTTCAGTGGTGTCTGAAGTGAAGACTAACACCAGGACTGCAGGCAGCAGAGGCGAAATTGCACATTTTCATGGAAAAGCCCATGACCACGAGCTCGATTGAAGCTCGCAAGCTGCTTTGTGCGGCCAAAGACCTGTGTCTCAACTGCAGGGGGACTGGTGGTTCTCAAGTTTCTGTCCCGTTTCCAAGCTGTAGGGAGTCAAGATATGTCAAGGTATAGACAGGTCCGAATTTCAGCATGTATATGCGCGCAATTATTGGGTGACTTTGTTTGACAAGACAGACACAGGATCCCAGCAGGATCGAATTTGTGAACTTCATCAGCTGGACAATGCTTAGTGTCTCAAGTGGTAGCAAACCTCTGCGAAGGAAGTCTCTGGGCAAAGTTTTCATGGTGACGCTTGGCTCAGTCTTAGCACCTCTCTGCTACGTTTCCCAAAACACTCGACCTTGCAGAAACATGGCGTCGCTTCATGGCAATGGCATGCCATTGCCACACCTCGAAGGAACCATTCTGCCAACTTCACAAACCAAGCCTTACGAGCTCGAGAAATCCTTCGTGCAGGGAAAATCGGAGAAGTTGAGCACGTCACTTGCCACTCGATGCTACGTGTGCTTTGCTTTCGTGTTTTCTGCTTTGCTTGACAAGTACCGCGGTGCAGGCTGTTCCATGATGAGTAGCAAAATTCATAAAACTCATTATCTAGATTGCAAGTGTGACACTTGCACACTCAATACTGGGATCTTGTATGATCTTGTGCACAATCCGACTTGTCAATTTGTCCAATTCTAAACAACTCGGTTTCTGACCAAGGCCACATGATCCGTGAGCGCGAATTCTTCGAAGATCTGCAAAACAAACTCTGGGTTTGCAGCTCTGAAGGATCTGCTGCTGGAAACGGGTCGCTGAATGACATGGAGCTTACTTTTGCAATCTGTTATTCTTCAGGAACATGCTGCTTTCTTTACCTTAAGGCAAGAAAGAATACCTGAGGATACTGAGTAGTTCCACCACTCAGGTTTGCGTGGGGCCAAAGCTGCCACACATTGGCATGGGTGCCTCCGTGCAAGCATGTAAAGACAGAGACAGTTTCTTTTAAGCTTGTTGAGTAGTGATGAATGTTTCTGATTGGTCTATTGCCAACCCTGAGCCTATGCCACGGTTGCTTGCTGAAAGCCAAGGTTTACTTTGTCACTGGCTTGATTCCTCAGAGTGTTTTTTGCAAGATGGTTTACTCCAAGAAGACTGGTGCTGACATATTCACTTCAGCTATCATCGAATGTACGAATGGAGCTACGATACTTGGCAAGGTTTTGCTTTTGTGATGCTGTACTTGTGAGTTATGGAGACCGCATCAGAGCTCTCCGGATGCTCACCGTCTGCTGGAACCTGAAGCTATCAAGTCTTAGTTTCCAGCGGTATTCTCAGGGCCTGGTTGGACGATTTCAGCCCTTCAACCTGGGTGATCCGAGGATTACTTGCCAAGGCCTTGCAGGCCTGCCTGGTGGAAACTCTGTGGGTTCGGCCTCTGCAACGGGACACTCAGCTGGTTCTTGTAATTAGCGTAATCCACACGATGCAGCATCATTGGAGGTGACAGACTGCTTTTTGCTTTCTTAAACAAAGTATGGGCATGCCTGGCTGTCCCTCCATTTTCAGGCTGTTTCTCAATCTCAGTAGAATCCAGTGACAGCTGCTGTGTGGGTTGAGGAAAGTTGATCGAGAACAAGCCACTTGACAGCAATGCACAGTATTTCAATTAGTCTATTTGTTTTGTGTTTTTCTGTCATGGCTAGCAACTGCCACCAAACCAAATAGCAATGGCCTCCAACCTAATTGCGATGGCCTCTAACCTACTAGCGATGGCCTTCAACCTACTATCGATGCCGGATTTGTCCAGTGCATCACAGTTTGTGAACTTCACACTGGTCGAGCATGCTGTTGAGCATGCACTCGTCGAGCATGTTGAGCACGCATCATTTGCATGTTGCATTTCTCGGGTTGGGAACGAGAGCCGAGGATATTCGGATCCAAGGGTTGCTTGCTTTACAGTGGTGACGATGCAGATCCTGGCTCGGGCCAGCTGGAGGTGTGCAGCGATGGCTTCCACGAGGTGATGCCGGGGTTTTACTTTGAAAATACAACGATACAAGGCACAAATTATTTAGTCACTACTCTCCTCGGTTTGACATGCAGGCAGGTTTTTCAGATCCAGATGTCATTGACTATATCAAACGTCTTTATGTCGCGGTGCAGATTGCTGACCGTTGGACCCTCATACAACAGACATGTCCATCATGGCAGCAGCAAAGTGGCCTAGGAAAAACGTGTGCAAGCGCACAAGAAAGAGACCCCTATGTTTTGTGCGACTTTGTTCATTTTGTTCCTTGAACAATGCCCCGAACCCATTTTGCGGTTCAGATTCAACGTACGGCCTGTATGGGTTGTTTCTCAAAGTACTGGTTACTGGATCTTCCCACTCAATGATGTTTCCTTGTTTTTCTTTCGAGGCTGGTTCTGAAGGGCTATATACCTTTCCGAAAGAGTATCAATAGAATCAATTGGACAAGTTTCGGTTCAACATGTTTCCGAGGAAAGAAGGCTTTGGTCCAGAGTCCTTGCGCTGCTTTGGGGATGCTTGCCGTGGCAAGACAATAACAAATTGCTCTGATGCATGGCAAAGGAGAGGAACAGACGCTGCTGCTAAACAAGAATATCTAAAATACTGCTTTCAGGGGCAGCTGAAATTAAATCATTGAGCATTCATGTTCAAAATCGCATTCTGGGCTGAAATACACCACTATTTTTAACTTGAGACAGCACGAACTTTACCTTTATTCCATTGCAGTAAAGATACTAGGACTGCCTGGTGTATATTACTTACATTACATATTATGAGTTTATAACTATATAATATATAAGTATATTATATTGAGAGAAGCTTAATTTGACAAACTTGTTGGAAGTGTGTTATGTAACTCTTGTGACTTGGGCGGAAAGCCCTCCGAGGATGCCTACGTGTCCCTGCAAGTTGTACTGACAATCGAGGCAATGTACGAAAGCGCAAAGTCTGGATCTGTCCAGAAGATCCGGGAATGACTGGAATTTGAGTCAAAAGCTCGGCGATGCGGAGCCAATCTTATGCACGCTATATATATATATGTTTCATTTGACTTCCAATTGAATGGTGCAGTGCTTTCCAAGTACGTTGATTCATTTTGGGTCAAGTCACCCTGAAACAGGCAACAAGACCAGGGCGTAGCCAGGATTTCATGCTTATAGGATGGAGTGGATAAGTTTGGTATGACTCGGCATGACCATGGCAAAGCTGCTTTGAGCTCAAGATAGCTCACTTCAGACAGGACAATTATTTGGTGTTGTAGATCCAATGTGACACTCATGAGACAGGAAGCTAATTTTGGTATTTCTTGTTTAATTTCTTTTGCAGTTGCCCAGCACTCACTACCATTAGACTTTACCTGGTGAACCTCCGAGTTCTCATATCTTGAAAGTCGCAGTTTGCACTTGTCGGGCAGCAAGAATTCCTGGGTGCCAATTGTAGGTACAGCACTCACAATAGATCAACAGACGGCGGGGCATGCATTTTTTTAAGAGGTGGTACAGCATTCACATTGTTGAGCTTTCGATTCTTATTAAGCACTTGATGAATCTTGATTAGATTTCCTTCGTTTCATTCCACCTATGAACCATGCTTTACATTGGCGCAGTCGTTGGGGTGAGGGCCTCGATGCCGTGCGCAAGATGCTCAAAATGGCAAGGGTTCTTGAGGGACGCTTCTCCCTCAGGTGGGAGAAGCTTCCTCGCTTCTCTTACATCCTAGTAAGCAGTTTGCTTCCACAGATCAGCTCCTCAGTGCCCTAGGGTCCTCCCCCCCTCCGTGCCCTATCCCCCAAGGCCAAAAACAAGGTGTTTACTGTGTCCCACGTGTATTCACGTGTCCACCAGCGGGATTGCAACAATTAGCGCAGACAGCTCAACACGAGAGCACCGAAGGCTTTCCTTGCTACCAAAAACGTCAGGTCGTACATGTTAGGTGCTACATGTTCAGTACCTTCAGTACAACCGCAACTCGAACCGCTTTTCCGCTCGCGCGCTGCGGGTCGGCCGACCCGCTTTGTACGAGGCCTATGCACTGTACAAAGCCTGGCAGTGTTCCAGTGCTCCGCATGTCCAAGAGCTCCGAGCAGAGGAGGCACGTAGAGGGAGTTGAGGAGCCTTTCCAGCATGACTTTCGATTGGAGTCCCAGACGGTCATGAAGTTATCGTTCTCGGAACAGCTTTCTCGGAATTGGAAGTTGTTTCTTCCTTAACTTCTTCATGGGAAGTCTTACATAATGAAAGCTGGCACTCTTTCAGACAGGTTCCTAGGTGGGTTTGGCAATATGCTTTGGCAGCAATTATCACATCCAGCAGGAATTGCATTGCCAACAAATACATAGCACATGAAGATGAGACACATCGACTGGAGCTTTTTGGCTGCTGCGCGTGCTTCACCAGCCATGGAGCTCCCGGTGACTCCAACTGAAGCTGTTGGACTCTCAGAGCATTTAGCGATGCTTCAATACTCCATTTGAATAAACAGCTTGGTTTTTCGCACAGTCGATGCTTGTGTGGATTGTGATACAAGTTCTTCGATGTCCGCAGCTGTTGAGCCGTTCCCAAAGCCTTGATAGTTGCCGTCCCATCCCAAGCAAGAGGCAAGCTTCTCTCTCTCTCTCTTTTTTCTCTCGCTCCTCTCGCTATAGCAGGATAGATTTGGAGAAAACTGAGGAACCGCCCAGCCATGATTGTGAAAGACATGAGAAGTCAACCACAAAAAGCACAAGATGCGTGGTCGACAATGGCCTATGTTTTTGCTGCACCTGTTTGCAGATCTTTGCTTCCATAGAGTAGAGATGTTCAATCTCACTGGCCTGAGCTTGGGGCAGGCCATGTTTCGGCTTTTGGATGATTCTGATGAAAGGCTGCAGAAGCGTGATGGTACCTCAGCTGGAGGGAGGGAGGGAGGGAGGGAGGGAGTGAGTGAGTGTTGGTGTTGGTGTTGGTGTTGGTGTTGTTGTTGTTATTATTGTTATTATTGTTGTTGTTGCACTTATTTGCTGCCTGAGGGGCTCGCGGGAAGTTCCTGGAAGCCTTCGCAGGGAATGAGGACTACCCGTTCCACACAGTAGAGGACGCTTACAAGAACCGCTCCGTTTACTATGGCACCATGCAGGCCAACGTCATGGCTGAAGCGGTATGTGCCTTTCGCCACGGTGGAGCAAGCATACTGTCCTGCCGACCAGGCTACGACGCGCTTGTGGCATTCCGCCCAGTGGAAGGCGCAACCAAAGAAGCAGTGTCAAACACGGCAGGAAAGTCTGAGGCATCTGATTTGCAGTTGAAGGACAATGTTGTGGAGTTGAACGGTGCTTTGTTCTGGGTAACTCAATGTGAGATTGAGGAGGTGACCCGGAAAGGTGTCACAGGACATGAAGCTAGTTTGAAGGGGGTTGGTCTCTTGGGAAGACGACTCGAGACAGCCTTGCGTCCATCCTTGCACCCAAGTGGTCAGGAGGTGTGTCTCAAAGTGCGCTTGTTTGCAGGAGACTATTTGGCCAGATACCAGTGTGCCATGGAGCTACAACATGAGCCACCCCTTGAGAGGATGCTAGAAAAGATGGTCCTGAACCCATGGCATCCTGAGAAGGGAACTTATAGCCCTTGCAGACCCTTTCAGAGGCAGTTGATGTCAATCAATGAGGACCAGGAACGTGCAGTGAAGTCCTTGAAGTCACGGGTGGAAACCATTCATGGCCCACCAGGCACTGGCAAAAGTACAACTATTTTTCACGTGTTGAGTGCACGACTGCCTCATGGAGCTGCGGCTGTGGTCACCTGCGTGACGAACCAAGCAATCAATGCCGTAACGGAGAAGTTGTCAAAAACGCATGAAGGGACCGATGGACTACGGATCCTTGTTCTTGGAAATCCTAGTCGAGTTGGGAAAACTGCGGGAACGTATACTCTTGACAACTTGTGCCAAAGAGATGCCTTGGTTGTGAACATGAAGTGGGCTCTCAATCTTTTGCAAAAGGTCTTGAAAGCGGTGGAACAATTGCAATGGGCCAGGCAGGAACGGCTTTGGAGACCACACCAGCGCTCGCGGTTCGGTCAGGCATACATTGAAGGGCTCCCGGTTATCCAGAGATACAGAGCCGAGCTTGAAAGAGACAACGTGCAACGCAGACGCCAATTGATGCCTGAAGAAATCTATGACCCTGTGAAGTTCTACTTAGAACGACTCAATTCCACAAAGCAGAAGATGGCTTTGGCAGTTGTGAGAAGCAAGCCTTTACGCTTGCCTTTCAGGAAGTTCAGAGGGTTCTTGCCAAGCAAAACTTGGGAGGTAGAAGTCTTCCATGAGCGCCTTCGGAAATGTGTGGTCAAAGCTGATAATGCACTCAGGGTGGCAAGGGATACGGCTCCTTCCAGGGTGGTCCGCAACACTCGAGTCTTCCTTTGCACGATCTCTTCCAGCTACCAGGCACGCGGAGTGTTTGAACTCCATTGCTACTGATATGGAACGTCTCATCAACAGGTTTTAAAGATATATAAATAATTATCAATATAAGCTATACAAATTGATATAAATGTATATATAATAAATATTGCTATAGCTTCTGGGCCTTCAGCGATTCAACGCAGTCGATAATCACAGATCGGTGAGCGGCTAGAACCTAAGTGAGGTGTGCAGTTGCACAATGATGCACAGTACACCTTTCATTTGCTTATATTCTCCACCATTCGGCAGGTGAGAACGCTTCAAGAATATTTTCCCAAGGATTTTCCAGGCCGCTTAGCTATGAGTATTTTGGATGAAGCTGCCGCTACGGCTGAGACCTATGTTCCTTTGGTGATTCGCACCCTGGCAAAAGATCACGGTTTGGGGGAACTGAAAGGACCAATAGGATCGCATGAACCGCTGGCATTTTCTCTTCAGGGAGCGCTTGAGCTCAAATTGTTGAGGCATTGGAGTGGAGAACCTTGTGATGCTGGGAGACCACAAGCAGTTGAATCCCTTGGTCCTGGCCACTGGTGGAGATCAGGTGATCAAGGACAAGAATGTGGACCGCAGCTTCATGGAGCGGGCTATGGCCTGCAATTGTCCTCTCCATCCATTGCGGACACAGTACCGGATGCCAGATGTTTTGTGCAAGTTGGTCTCCAAACTATTCTACAGTGCAGGGCTAAATTTACCCTTGTCGTATATCGTTGCATTGTCCTTTTTTCAATGCTGGCAGAACCTCTAGTATGTGTTCATACACAACTCTGCTTAGGTGGCCATTTGCGCAGTGACAGTGACCTCACCAGTCGCATGAGAAACCTATGTCTTGGCTGCTCTCCTTTACGATGGTTTGACATCCAAGACAGAGAGATGGAGGCAGCCGTTGTGACACCCACCACGACCCGCAACTCGGACACATGTAGGTTTCGGTGCTTTGTTTGTGCAGGTGGGCACCTCAAAGATCAACTGTGCGGAGGTCATGCAGATCGTGGCAAGGTAGCCTTGAAGCAAACCAGCCAAAGCATGTCGACACATCCGATGCATTTCATGACAACTTATGATGAGAACCTATTAGATCTGTTATGTTGATTTCAATGCACATTGCCTTTGTGCATAATATCTTCCGATCGGATTTCTTTTCTAAGGCTATAGTCCGACGCGACCTTCACAAATCCGCACGAACACGTCATGATCATCACTCTGTACAAGCCACAAGCTGCTTTGCTCGAAGAGACGCTGCGAAAGTTCTTGCCAAAGAAACTGGAGTCTGGGAGCATCAAGGCCTGAGACAAGCACACGAAGTTGAAGAGGGCTAGCGGATATTTGTAAAAGTTGTTTTTCCTCTTTGTTCTAGAGAGACAATGCGGCCCGGATGTCAAGACCTGTTAACTCACGCATGATCCAGCTGGGCGCAGCAGAAAAGGATTTGTCAGTCTTGACTTTGTCACAGGTGGCAACGGTTGATGCTTCCCAGGGATCGGAGGCACCGCACATCATCCTTTCCACTGTGAGGAGCCAGCAAAGTTGAATGCACATGCACGTTCATCATGATCTTTCATATAGTCCTTGAACTTGTAGATGGCCTTTTCTTTGCAAATATGCCATATGCTGCTAGCAAACATGTCACAAGCATTTACAGGCACAACATTGTTTCTACTGCGTAACTAGTCTTCTGTTGGGCAGGCATCATCGACATTGACCGGAATCAATTACTTGTTTTGCAGGAGCAACGGGAACCAAAGCATTGGTTTTGCTTCCAATCCACGCCGGCTGTGTGTTGCCATCAGCCGAGCGCAAAAGACTCTCACTGTCTTCGGAAATGCCAGCGTCTTTCAGCAACATGTCAGTCAAGCAAAGATTACCTTTGACTTTGTGCAGGCAAAGGAAGTGATGAGTGTGAGTTAACGGGTGACTCACTATGCTGTAGGAACGTATAAATGCACCAAATTTATTACCCCAAGCATTCATCACTTGATCTGCAAGTATGTTGAGTATTTGGGAGCCCATCGAATGTGACCGTCACGCAGTCCAGCTAGCTCAGGCAATCCAGACCTCATTGGCAGCAGGTCGTGGAGCACTTCCGCAGGGAAGGAACACTACAAGCGACCTCGGAAGGAGCAAGGGCTTTACTGCGCTTTGTAGCTATTCTCGCCTCAGTTCTCGAAGATCACTATTCCCATACTACTGCCAACTTGTTCCACCAGAATGTTTCAAAAGACAGCTTTGCGCCCCTTTTACTACTAGTAGCAAGAAGCTACTACTAGCGATGCCATTGTTACTAGTAGACTAGTAGCGATGCACTTGCTACTACTAGCGATGCACTGATCAGGAGCACTCTCCGGGTCCCTGAAAGAGTTTGTGGAGGGCCGAGCAGTGAAGATGGTGGAAGCCAGGCCTGCAAGGTCTGATCAGAGCAACGAGGAGCAAGTTCAGAGTTCAGATGTTTGTTGATGATCATGATGCCTTTAAATCATTTATATCCTTTTACGGGATTCTTCTTTGTAGTCTCTCTCTCTCTCTGTTTATCTTTGTTCTTGGATGCTTTTGCATACTCAGAAGATCGCATGACATGATTTTTTGGGGGGTGATCCAAAATCAGATCTACAACAGCTGATTTTGACTCAGTGTTTGGATGTGTGTTTGGG